CAAGTGGCCGAGTGTCACCGGCACCACCCAAGTGGCCCGCACGCTCATTCGGCCAACAAAATGGCGAACCAACTGGTCCGGCCTCCCGACCACCTCACCAGTGCCCCGCGCCTCGTTACCCACAGCTTCCAAGTGCCCCACGTCTCACACCTCGGCCACCACCCAGTGGCCCTCGCACGCTCATCGTCATCAGAATCGCAAACAAGACGATAGGCCCTTGGCGGTCGAGTCGCATTGAAAGGACTCGGTCAAAAGAGTTGCCCGACCATGACCTACCACAAATGGTGCCCGACAGGGTGGCTGAGCCACCGATGGTGGACAAAACCATCAAATGGCGGCGACAAGGGTCGAGCCACCAAATGGATGCCAACAGGTAGCCGAGCCACCAAATGGTGCGCGGCAAGGTAGCCGGCCACAAATGGTGGCCGAGCCACCAATGTATCCGACAGGGTGGCCGATGAGCACCTAAATGTGGCCGACAGGTAGCCGAGCCACGCAATGGTAAGGCGAGCCACCAATGGTGGCTGGCCAATCGCACAGAAATGGTGGCCGCCAGCCACCAATGTGGCCGAACCACCAAATTGGTGCGAGCCAGAGTAACCGAGCCACCAATGGGGCCGACAGGGTGCCGAGCCACCAGATGACGGTTCAGCCAGATTTGATCTAAAAATGTGATTTTTCAGTTTTGATGGATTCTCACGGGATTTGTTTGTTTCTGAGCTTCCCAACTGATCTGATACTATGGTTAATCAGTTACTAACCATAGATAATGAGGAATCCCTCGTTCTTATCCAAATACCCGCATCTGAAGCCTATAAATACGAGTTAGGATGCTCATTTCTTGGGCGGACATCAAGAGGGCGAAACGCTACCGAATTGGAGAGTGATGTCACGAATTTATAGCAAGGGTTAGCAGATCTTGGCGATCTCCTGTGCATAAAAAGTGGAGTTCGAGAGATCCGAGACCTGTCCCTTATTCCTCCGGATTTAAGCATAGTCTTAAATCTCGAGAAGAGCCATGATCTCGCTTGGTCGAGATCATCGCTGCAGCGAATAGTTCCTTCGTGAAGTGAGAGCTTTGATCATTTATCTGTCAACCGGATCTGATCCGCGGTGGTCCACAGATATTAACGTCCCCGGCACAGGCAAAGTTCCTACGCAAGCAGCGGGTGATAAACATTCGTTGCGCTGTTTGACAAGAGTCGTATCTTTTATATTTTCATTGTATAAGGAGATCTTATAAAAATGTTAACTTTTTTATTTGAGTTTATTATAAACGATCGAAGTTGTAATAGATTCAATCACAATGAAAATAACGATTTTTGATACAAACAAGCTGGCGACCACAGTGGGAGCTAACAACTTCGCTACCGAAGCTGTCGTGCCACAACCAAGGATCCAGATCCCGGTTGAAAAAGTGGTCGAGTACGAATTTGACCAACTAAAGTTCGAGGAGTATCTGTCGTCCTCCTCCTCCAGATCCTTTGCCCCTCGTAAACGCAGGAAGATCAATGCCCTAGTTGTCATTGCAATCTCGCCTTACAAAGCCCCTCCGGCCTCTAACTAGCCCGAATCTATAGATCTGAACCCTTCCTCCATCAAGGACTCAATTGCAGAAGTCATGCCAACCCTATCAAAGAGGGCACGCCAAAGGTAATGCTAACGACTTGTGCGCCGACTTGCTAAGGCTCTGGAGCATGTTGACGGGATCGGCTATGAGATGGATCTGAAACACAGAAGGCACCGAGTGCCCCAGTAGCAAATAAATGGCCTCTCCTCCAAACCAACAGCGAATGAGTGGATCCAAGTCAAACGGACCCGCTCAACCCTCGAGGAGCACATTCAGAATCACCACGCCTTGATTGCGCACACACGAATTCTCGTACAAGAAGCGCAGAAGTTGAAGCAAAAAGAGATGATCAAGAGGCCACAGAAACCACGCCAAGTATGGAAACCAAAGTCCGAAACGGCGTCGACAAAAAGTCAAACAGCGCCCGGAACTGTCAGAATGCGTGAACCTTCATCTGGTGGCTCGGCCAAAATCGAACCACCAAATGGTGGCTCGGCAAAAACGAGTGGGTTCGCACCTGGTTCAGTTCGGTTCGCACCCGATTCGGTTCGGTTCGGTTCGCACCCGGTTCACCTCCCGCAGTCCCGTTTAAGCCTCCGACAGCCCCTGTTTCTTTCCCGATGAATTCCGCACTTCCGGTGAAGTCTCACGACCACGGAAACTTGTCCTGTTTCAAGATGAGGATGACAGATCGCCTAGGTCCTTTGCACAATGATCGAGGTAAAGTTCCAATCAAAGAATGTTTGGGTTCGGTGACTAAACCCCGAGCAACCACTCGAGCTGGGGGTCGCACACACCCTCGCAACAAGTTAGAGCCTTTCTATAATAGGAAAACCCCTGCACTTGACCGCCTCAGACAAGGAATTAAAGTCCAAGAGCCCGTCAAGAGTTCACGCTCCCAAAAGCGTAGCTCCAAATACGTGACTCTTAAAAATGCCAATAAGGCAGCAAGCTCTCAGAAGAAAACGTGTTCATCAGATGACGACGTTATACCTGAAAAGTCATGCCAACACGCGATAGGTTGCTCCGGTCATATGACCGATGAGTGATACTATCGGGCTGGGGGTACGAACAAGTCTCGTAAGAGAAGTACCCGAGAAATAGAATCTCACTGCCCGTGCGTCAAACTAATTAGGGTAGTATTATCAGCATGTATCTGCCCCAAGACCGCTCCGTAGAGGGTCTCGGTATTTGAGAGGATATCTAACGGAGCGACTAAGTCCAAGCCAAAACGTTTCCGCAAGAAACAATGGGCCGTTCAAGGTGACAAATTTCCGGAAGTCACAATAAATATGGCTAATAAGNTATCGTCTAACCCAGTTGCGATCGGGAACTATTAGACAAAGAGATTATCAGAGAATACAGAGGGGATTATTCTCGGATGATGAAGCATCAGATGCCAACTCTACAGTCGCTTCTGACAAAACGGTGTCCAGCCCAGGACAATCCCACGAGGCATTCATGATCAACACCGAGCAAATCGCTAAAATTCTCGAGGATGCTCTAACCAAGCAGAAAGAGACATTCAAGATTGAAATGGAAATGGCTATGCTACGGATGAGGGAAGAGCATGACCAACAATATTAACAACCAAACCGTAACCTTGACAACCAAACTGTAACATTAACAACATAACCCTAACCTTCACAATCAGTAATAAAAGACATGATTACTTACACAAACTAGAGGGGTACACCCTTGCAGATATAAAGTCATCTTCCCTGGCTCAGGACCCTTCAGTGCCCTCTTTATCGTGTCAGATGTTTCACTGAATATATAGGTCCCCCAAGCAGTGTTATTGACCTGTTCGATGCTGTCGACGTACTTGAATAAATGCCTAGGAACGCCAGAAGCACTGCTTGGACACCAAATCATGCTTAGCTGATAGAGGATCTGTAGCAGGATAAAGTCCTTCACATCTCGGCGATCAAAAGATAGTACTAGTGTCAAGAGCAGATCCTCCATATTGCGTCTGGTGGGGCCTCCTTTGGGGGAGCTATACTATTGGAACCCCCGGCCTCGGGTTTGTCAAAAAACCTGGACTAAATCCTATTTTTCCTATCCGATTGTGGTCAACATGAAGCCCCTCATTGGAGAACCATGTATGCTCCATTACCCACTCAAGGTTGAATGAGCAGGCAATCTCTTCTCCATCATTCCTATCGGTGAAGACGAATATTTTGCTTTTCTTGTCCCACTGACTCAAAATGTGCTCAAAGGTGGGAAGATCGACACCAGGTGGGCCAAATTGGACGTAGTGTCTGAATACACTATCTTCGTAGGCCGTAAAATACCTTGGCCCCATACGCATCACCAAATTCCGCATGAAGTCATGATAAGCACTGAAGCTGGCGGTTGGCCGCAACATAATAGTTGGCTTTGCCCTTTTTCTACATAACAAAAACACAAGAAAAGAGCATTTTTGAGTATAATCAGTAAACATAAAAACTATGCTGTAAACTTTGCAGATAAACCAATAACCTTAACAACAACCCCATAACCTTAACAACCAAAACCTAACCTTAACAACCAAAGACTAACCTCAACAACCAAACAACAACCTCAACAATAAAAGCATGAACCTTGCATGTTAACAGTAACCTCAACAGCTAACAGACACCCGTAATTTTGGACCTTCCCACCAGACTAGGAGCATTATCAATCAAATCATAACCTTAACAACATAAAACTTACGGTAAAAATTACATTTTGGGTGCTGCCTCGTGCTTCTCTTTTTCTCCTCTCTGTAGACCATGGAGCGCTCTAGTGGCATCGTTGGACGCGCCGGTGGTGCCGGTGCTGCCCTCTAGACCTTCGCGGGGGCCTACACTTAAATTTTGAGGTGGGCTTCTGGGTTGAGAATGACTGGTTACGATGTCCTCTAGAACATTAGCAATCGCAGCTCCAGCTTCAGATTCAGTCCGCACTGCAGTTGTATGGGCTCTTTCTGAGATTTCGAACTGCTGGGCGTCATCGCTTTCGCTGTGGTCGGCATGGAGGTTGGCTTTGGGGGTTGAATCGCCGGCCATTTTGATCCCTTTGCTCTGATTCAGTTTGCGTTGGAGTCGGTTGATTTAGGGCTAGGGTTTTGAATTGGGTTTCTGGAGTCGGTTTGCTTGTAGAAGAAAGAGATGACAGGGTACGGATGAGGAGGTAACTCATAACGGGAAATTTTAAACGGAAGGGTATTTTAGGTATTTCGAGTGGGGTTTAAACGGAGTTACGCCTGGGGATTCGTTTTGGGGGCTGGAAGAAAATCGCGGGCGATTTTGGGGGCAAAGCACCGTTGAAAAAGTCTTGGGGGTGGGGGGGGAGCGACGTTTTGTTGTGTTTTGGGGGGCTGGAATCATTTTTCCCAAAAAGAAAACCTAAGTCGCTGGCCTCTTTAGATTCGCCCTTTTTTTCCCGAAGAAAGAAAAATATTGCATACCTATCAAAGAGGAGCTGCGTAAGAAATGTTTAAAAAATTCTTAGAAGGAAAGACGATGAGCGTTTGATCATAAAATGAGGTATTTTCTTGCCCCACCTTTAGGAGAAAGTGCATGCATTGATCTAATGTCGGGCAAGTATAATATTTTAATTGGATCTTGCTCTAATTTGTGGCCGAGATGAGTTGAGATTTTTTTTTTCTTTTTGTTTTTTGTTTTTTGTTTTTTGTTTTTTTGTGTTTTTTTTGGGTCATGGTCATGCGTATTTTTTTGTGTTTTTTTTGGGTCATGGTCATGCGTAAAGCACCTTCTTGTACTTATATATTAAGCTGAAGATATGTGCTATTGTCAATCATGAGTTTAATTCCCTTGGCAAAAGGCAGATTGCTAATGCTTAAAAGTTTGGACAATGTCTTAAGACTAAAGAGGATAAAGTTTATAGTTATGTTTCATTAGGAAATGAGTCGATGGCTTGCAATAGTATTAACTGTTCATTCATTTGAAATTATTCTTTAGGGTTCCAAGCGACTTCATGGAGGCGTTGAGAATGGTATTTCGATAGTCCTTGGGTTTATGGTAAGTGGTGAATTTATACGTTATGCACTGTGTATTTTCAATATAAAATCATATTAAGTACATGTGGATTATATCCTTTTCTATGACTTTACTCGCATATTAATTATTGATTTGGATGTGACAAACATAGATATTTGCTATAAGCCTATGCTTATTTCTTTGTTAACAATCATGTCTTTTCATATAGTAATAAGTTAAAATACATATGTGAAAGATTTCACTATTGGTTCGCATTTGGCAATTTTTTATAAAATATTTGGTTATATTTGTTGATTTTTCTTAAAGCATATGCATCTGAAGTTCATATATCGGTATATGTTAGGCATAAGTAAGTCATCTAAACGGGGCTCAGTATTCCTCTATAAGGTTATTTTTAGCGCTAAATCCAAGTTTGGGGTCTCTATATCCTAATACAACTAGATTAATAAAATTGGGGATACTATGTCAACCGGGGTATTTAACTGTTGACCGTGTTGAGACGTTACTTGCTTATTTCCATTACATGATTTTTGAAAGTTTTCAAATATTTGCATCGAATATGAGAGTTCATTGATAATTTTTTATTATTTTAATATTTTTCTCATCAAGTCAAAATATTTTAATTTTTGCAAAACTAGTGTTTATTGTATGAATTTATAAACTTATTGAGTTGTGAACTCATTGTATTGTATTCATTCTTTTCAAAGACTCAAGATTAGGTGGAGTTGGTGGCTTCTAAATTCTTAGAAAGGAGTAAGGAAAATTTACAGATTGCTATTTTTTCTAAGTGAAGAATAAATAAAATCTTCTATATTTAGTTGATATTTGAAAGTTTGTAATAATGGGATATTTGACTTTAGGTTGAGTTTTATTTCAAGTTGAGGACTACTTGTTTATCTCAAGATAATTGGATTTATGTTGACTTTTGAAATTTGGAGAATAATTGATGGTGAATTTAATTCACATGATAAGATTATTTTGGTGATTATTTGGTAAATATATATTTTTGGAGAAAGATTTTTAATGGGTTTAGTCTAGCACCAACATTCGTCGAGGTCTGAAAATTGAGATCGTGACAGAGATAACTGTCTGTTAAGGTCAACACTACACTTATGATAGCGGTCCCTTCGGAAGGTTCGACTGTAAACCTCTTCCAAAATACCCTAGTGGGTATAGCAATACACATAGGCTCAATAATATACCTTTACCTTGATGGATCCATCGTGTTCAACAGTACACCTAGGTTCAGCATTACACATCTGCTGAGATAGTTGCATGTTATGTTTAACATCACATCTATTATAGCAGCACTGTCGAAAAGTTTAGTAGTACAACTCTTACATTCAACAATACACCAATGCCAGGATGAAATAGTCATCATGTTCAACATCACACCTCTAAATGGTGATTATTTTAACAATTGGTGCATTCTGACTCACTCACCGATCGAGTACACCCAACTAGTTCTAGAAGTCATCTCCGAACGGTTCGATATTACATCAGGAATTCCTTGAAGTATTTCAAAATTGGCTATGTGTATAAACTTGTACTTCAAAAATGTTTTTGGGGGTTCTTGTAGAACGGTAAAAATGTCAAACCGTCGACCAAGCACCCTATGACACCACAAGAAGGTTTATGGGGTATAACAGTCATTCTTAAGTGTTCGAATAGTTCAACATAATGAAACAGGCCTAAAACGAGCAAATGACACAAAGTCACGAAGTCTGGAATTTAAGCAAAGTGAGAATCAGATCAAAACTTGCGCAAAAGTAGACTAAGGCATATTTACGCGGTGCTAAGGTTGCGCAGTGTTAGGCTTTATGTGTTGTTAAGCTCGGATAAAGTTAATGGTTTGTAAATATCCCCCCAAATAGAGAATCAAACAAGTAGACAAATTTTTAGCAGATTTGAGGCATAAGAGCACTAAAAGACAAAATTCCTAAACAAAGTGTATGTAGGGCTACAAAAAGGAACTAATGAAAAATTTTACGCAACACTACGAACACTGTGTCATTGACAAAATCTGCAAGAGTTATTGCCAAGTATGTCACGTCAATGTCTGTTCAGTGCCCATACACTAAAAAGCTGCCAAAGTAGATTGTGTAAATCTAATACCACATATACCCCTTATAATCGCGTGAATAAGGGCTCCTCTATAAATGGAGACCCTTAGCCCACATCCAAAGGGCTCTAAAATCTCCAACCTTCTATCGAAGTCCTCATTGCATTGAGTTTGAGCTCTCCTCTTTTCCAGCAAAGCTACTCTTTCTCTAGGGGGTTCTTTGGGCAACCTTGGTTCTCCTTAGTTCTTTCAGTTACATACCTCCTCTTCATTGGGGGTTTTTTCATCAGCCTACCACCTTTTCACTAGGGTTACTATTCACCCAAGAGCCACTATTCCCTAAGGAGAGTTTTACCGTCTCAAAGGGTTATACAAATCACCCGAGAGCAAATTTTCTCCTAGTTAGAGTTATCTTCTTCTCACAAGAGAGTTTGCAAACAAACTCTCGTGAGAAATAGAATAACTTTTGGTCTTCATCAACTAAGATCTACTCATTCTCCAAGGCACGAGGCTTCACAAAGGGACAACATTTACATCTTTCACCTCATCATATAGTTAACAATGATCCATGACTTATCTCAATTGGCATATGGTCAAGATCTCACTCAAACAAAAATAAGGAGTAAGTGGACTGGACCCTTCTCTGCTTGTTCGAAGCCCAAGTCGCCATGGCCTCCATGACAATGTCTTCATACTTTTGATTTGTGTGGAAAACAAAAAGCAAATAATATTTTCAGCAACAATGACGTCCTCATGGTTAACGACCAAGATCTAGTCTCTTTTGACACGCTTTCGTAGAATCAAAACTTATAATTTGTGTTTTTTAATGAAGAAATGAGAAATTATAATCTTTCGAATGAATCAATCAATTGTAAAATTTTGACTCGAAAACTATTGATATAATCTTTGGCAATATCTTCTTTAATCTATTAGCTAATACTTTGGATGTGATATTGTATAGAACATTTCAAAGAGATATTGGTTGATACTTTGTGATACAATTTGGTTGCTTCACCTTTGGTATCAATACAATATTAGTGTAATTTATTTTCTGTAGAAAATCTAGCCATTTAAAAAGGCAACACTACATTCGTAGCCTCCACCCCAATTATTGCCCAATTTTTTTGATAAAATAAAGTCAATATTTTGTCAAATAATCCTAGAGATTTTAATGGGTGCATTTGTTCCAAAGCTTCCAACACCTCCGCTCAGCTATAGTTACAAGCAAGATTGTCATTCATCACTCCTGTCACCTTTGGTGCAACACAATCCATAATATCATCCATCTCTCGACTTGAGCATTATGCCATGAACAGCTGCTGAAAGTAGTTTTATAGTAACCTGACTCATCATCTCCTCATCCCTATGCTACACCACATTGTCATACTTTACCACATCGATCCAGTTCTTGTTCCTTTATTGATTAGCCATAGTATGAAAGAATGATGTATTTTTATTCCCATCTTGAAGCCCAAGCGATTAGTATCTTTGATGCCACATTGTTTCTTTCATTGCTAAAAGTCGTTGAATCTCTCTTGTCAACTTAACATCTTTTTCATATTTCCCATTATGTCCCTGCAAGACATCATTAATTAATCGTTTTTTCCCTTCAATTATTTTCCAACATGCCCAAAGACATTTGTATTCTACTATCGAAGCTACCACCTGCAATTTTTCAATCTTTCTATAACTTGAAAAATGCATGATCCTTGTCCACCAACTCACTCCAACCTTACTTGATAACCTCTTCATGTTGGCCCACATCACCTCTAATCAGAATTGTCATCGTGTAGTACGATCATGTCCCCCACCATCACCATGCAATGTCCCTATGATTGGTCTATGATCTAAAATAGATGTGAACGAGTGTTTCGCTCTATTTAGCTACTCTATCACACCCCATGGTTTCATGATATCTCCTTTCATGTAAAAAGGGGACCCCACCGTTTTATGATATCTCCTTTCATGCAAAAAGGGGGACAACAAAGCCCATATATATCTTTCAACTCACAATCATCTAATGCCAAAAAAACTCATGAATTTGCTACCCAGAACATGGGCGCCCTCCGCTTTTCTCATTTTTTTTAATAAAATATATCCAACATTCCTCTAATTCTTGCTTCAGCATACATAGCAGATGCTATGTCTCCTTTTTTCTAGATTTCTCAGGTTGTCCATAAACTCATGTCACCGCCACCTTATCTCCCCCATCTTTCCCCCTCACATAGGCATTAATATGTAAAGAGAGTAATATTTGAGCTCCACCTACACCTCTTCTTTCCATTACAAGGATAATCACCCCCTCATCCCACACCATCGATAGTAAAGTACTCATTGCTACATTTGTACTTCTCACGAATCCTACTAATCTTGCAACATTTCAGACGTGTTTTTGAAAGAAATATTGCATGGGGAACTTCATTTTATAATGAACCCATGAGACCTCTAGCTGCCTATGGATTCCCAAGTCCACTGCAGTCACGGCTTAGGAGTCTCATGATGCCCGATGGGGTGAAGCCTCAGCCTCTACCTCTGTCGATGAAACAACATGCTTTTTTTCTAACCATGTTTCACCAACCTTCCTTCTTTTTCTATATAAATCTACACAAACTCAATTGAGTCACAACATCCAACCTCATCATACTTCCATGCTTATTCTCACTAACATTGTCATTCTTCGACAGCAACACTCGATGAGTTTCCAAGCCAAGTCTTCCCAAAAATTGACAAAGTTTCTCTATAGTGTAAACCATGTTAGAAAACTCTATCACAAATTTGTAATAAAAATGATGAATTGGATCAAACTAGTGCTCAACAAAAAATTATAATAATTATTTTTTCTTTGCTTGGTTGAAAACATAGACCAATTGTATTAGAATATAAAGTGAGAGGAGAAGGTATACAAATATGATCATTATATATCTATATTAGATATGAATATTAAAAATCTATATTCAAT